ATTTTTGTGACACTTATAACTTTTGAAGGGAAGGTCATAAAATGCTTGGAGACATCTCATTTTGTAGAGAATTAGCTGCTGTATAATTTTAGACTGTTAAAACAAGTTTTCTATTGCGGCTTCTGGATGTTGAAAAACCAAGGTTTTAGTTTTCCAGAAATCCTATTTTGGAAAAATTCATGACGGTTATCTTTTTCTCAAATTCTCGTTGACAACAATATTCTCTATTCAAATCACTATTTGGATTCTTTCTAGCACATAAGGCTACAAAAAAAAAAATCCAAACTACACCTTGTTGAACAATTTTGGGACCCACTGTATATAGAACTGTTCGAGTAGTGGCGAAAGTAATTTGAGCACTCATGCTGTCAAGTTGTACTAGCCTGATGAAAATTTTTACTATATCTGACTTGTCCAAGTTTGGTTTTCCTGAAAAATAATCTTCCTGACATGAATTTATTCACACATTCTGATACTTAAACTTGTGAAAAATACACATCGTTTTACATTAGCAAAAATAGTACGAGGCGCTTGTCCTAGTTTACTTACATCATAATTCCTAAGCATTCAAAGAGTAAAGAACAATTGTTGTACAATAACGGAGTCATAGATTATAATATTTATTTATTCATTTTAATGCAATACAACGAAATTTGTAGTCTTTTCATCATGTTGAAATGTATGATCTAAATTCAAATGATTTGTTAATACACTTAAACTTAAATATGAATGTTTTGTGATGTGTGTGATTTTTTTTCTCGTATAAATGATATTTTTCATACATTGAATTAAGTTTATTTTCTAAAAATCAAAATTAGATTAAATGTTCAACCAAACTTCAGATTTATGGCAAAATAGTTTTTTAAAGTTTTAGTTATGAAATTTTAGTCACCATTTCTCGACTAAGTAAATCAGCTTGTCGTATTGGTTCACAAATACGATATTTAGTCACTGATTTGAATATATTACAAGCTGTTGTTAATGTTATTTTGTGTCCAACACTAATATAAACGGCATTCTTTACAAATCCAGTTACATTATAAGCTAAACCAAGAACATTTCCACTATCACCTATGACTTCAACATATTGATTTTCTCCAGGTGCCTTTTCAGTTAATAACTCTTCAATTTTCTCTCGTGTAATACCATCAGCATAAAGAACATTTTTCGATACACCAAAACATGGAATTCCACTTAAAACACCAAAATGTGAAGCTCCAGTTTTTATGAAATTAATTGATATTCAAAAAGAACATTGTCCTCATTTA